AAGAATGAATGGTGGCTGAATTGAAGGAGTGTAATGGCTGAAAATGGGATGGATTTGCAAGGGCCACGGCAAAGGATGTTTTGATGGTGCATTTGACATTGTTTTGTGACATAGAATGGATAGGGTGAATGATTATGTGGCTGCATGTTTGAATGATTAAATGTGCATGTGAATTAGGTTATGAAAGCATGTGTTGATGAATGGGATTGTGGAGATGCACGGCATGGGGTGTTTGTTTGTGTGAAGTGTTTGCATGTGGATGACAACTAGGAAAGTGGGAATGCATGTGGAAGAAATTGCATGTGGAAAGGTTGGAAATGGGATGGGATAAATGATGTATAAGCACGGCACAAGTGTTTTGTAAAGGGGAAGATGGTGTGTGTAATTGCATGTGTGTGCATGTGGGTGAATGTGAAGGGAAGACTATGTGCACGGCAAAGAATGATTTGTGGTCAAATGGATGAATGATTAAGAGTGCATGTGGGTGATTTGTGTTGCAATGATGAAGTGGATGGGAGTGATAAGTGATAAGTGATAAGTGAATGGTTTGATAAGTGATAAGTGAATGGTTTGATCTTCAATTTCATCCAACACTTGGGCTCCAAGCATAAGCTATCCATCCTTAGCCCAATAGTGCTCCAAAAGGCCCCAAAACACTCCATAATGCATCCTTTCGTCAAACACGTCTTATGATCCTGAAAACACACAAAAGAAGCATAAAGGACTAAAATAACTAAAGAAACATAACGTAAATGTACGAGAACAAGCCATTTAAGTCGCATGAATATGCTCCTATCAGCAGGAATCGGCCTTGGAAGTTGGGTGGTTGCTGTGGTGGCGTGCACGAGAAAGCTGGGAGTTTTCTTCCCTTTTTTTTTTTTTTTTTTTTTTCCTGATTTCTGATTGGGCTGTTGCCTTTTTCTACCTTTTATCTAATTGGTCCTCCTTAACCAATTAACTACCTTTAAATAACAAACTTCAAACTTTCGTAACTATACCGTTATAATCCGGACTCGCAAACGGCTTTCACCTATGTGTTCGTACCAATGAGTACTACTTAAATATGCTAAAAGAATAAGTCATACGTTTCTCTAAACGATAGTTAACGGAAGTCAAAGTCCTTGCCTCTAGGGTGTGTTCGTCAATTCCCTTGAGTAAAATAAATAAAAACGTAAAATTAGGGACGGGTTGTCACAAATTCGGACTTCAAGTTTGTAATTTTATTGTGATTTTTTTTAGACAAAGGGTTAGTTTTCTCTTTGTATATCGAGTTTGTCTTTTTGTGTGGTTTATTTACTTCGATAGTTACATGTATTTATTTTATGTTTTATAATATGCCAATAATTATTTTTCAAATAAATTAATAATTATGGGGTACATTACTTTTTTTGTTAGAACTATGTGAAGAATACTATTACTTTATTATTGATTTTAAAGTAATTATTATATTGTAAAAATGTTATTTGTATTTGTTTAAATTTCATAATTTGTGGGGGTATTGAATGCATAAATGTACGAGTTAAATCTCTCAAATGACGTTAGGGACCTCAATCAAACTATTTAAACAAAGAAGGTCTCATTCTAACAATTAGAGAACCAAAATGATCCTAATTAAATGGTGTATGCATATGTGATTTTTTTTTTGCTATTTGGACATAAAGTTTCAATTTTTGTGCATTTGTGATATGGGAGATTGATCAGGAATATTATGTTTAGCTTCATTTTGTTTATGTGCTTTTCTCTTTTCAAGTTGTGAGACTTGTAGTATCTTAATTTAAATCTAGTGGTGCAAAAATTCATACAAATGTTTAGCTAAAAAATTAAAATGAAATTATGTCTTTTGACAAGTACAAATATTAAAATTAAACATTGTATGGCGCGTTTGACATATTGTAACTATAAGAAGTCTTTATGGGTGAACAAATGCAAAAAGAAAAAATAATTCTACATGCTACGTTTAGTGCGCCGGGATGTAAAAAAGATCTTTCGCATGCACATGAGTGCATGTAGAAAGGCTAGGATGAAATGAGCCAGATAATTTAGGTCTCGTACTTTAGAATTTCTCAAAAAAAGACCAGTAACGCCATAAGTGACAAGTTTATATCAACGTCAACACGTCATCTTGTTGACATGGTATCTTATTAATTTTTAATTTTTCAATGTTTTATTTTCATAGTAATTAAATAATGGAAAAATTAGTATCCGGTCTCTAGTTACTAATGTTAATTGACTAAAACCTTATTAGTTTTCAGATTTTGATCCAAGTCCCTAGCATTAATGTAATGATGTATTTACACGTCAGTTACATAATTTTTTAATATAAAAAATAATAATTGATTTAGGATTTTAATACTCACACCCGTATTAAACTCCTCACTAATTAATTTTCAATTTAAAAAATTTCCAAAATAAATAAAAAATTAGAATAAGTTTGTACCCATTAGCTTTTTATAAAATGTTTTCAATTTTTTAATCCTATATGCACCCATTCATGTAATTTTATTTCAAATTTTTAATATTAAAATGTACCCATTCTTAAATATAACAATTTGTTATATGTAAAATGTAACATCTCACATCGCCCAGGGGAGTGATCTTTATATGTACATTCACATCCCTACCTAGCACAAGGCCTTTTGGGAGCTTACTGGCTTTGGGTTCCATGGGAACTCCGAAGTTAAGCGAGTAGCGCGCGAGAGCAATCCCATGATTGGTGACCCACTGGGAAGTTGCTCGTGAGTTCCCAAAAACAAAACCGTGAGGGAATGGTAAGCCCAAAGCGGACAATATCGTGCTACGGTGGTGGAGTTAGGCCAGCGAAGTGATCCGCCCTGGGCCCGGATGTGACAATTTGGTATCAGAGCCTAACCCTGGCCGCGAGTGTGCCGACGAGGACGTCGGGCCCCTAAGGGGGGTGGATTGTAACATCCCACATCGCCCAGGGGAGTGATCCTTATATGTACATTCACATCCCTACCTAGCACGAGGCCTTTTGGGAGCTGACTGGCTTTGGGTTTCATGGGAACTCCGAAGTCAAGCGAGTAGCGCGCGAGAGCAATCGCATGATGGGTGACCCACTAGGAAGTTGCTCGTGAGTTCCCAAAAACAAAACCGTGAGGGAATGGTAAGCCCAAAGCGGACAATATCGTGCTACGGTGGTGGAGCGCGCCCGGGAAGTGAAGCGCCCTGGGCCCGGATGTGACATAAAATGTATCTTTTTTTTTTTATATAAAATCTATTCAATTTTTCTCCAATCCATTTTGTAATTTATATTGGTACATTCTTTTCTTTTGATTTGAGAATGTATCCATGTCAAGTTTAATCGAAGAAATTTACTAATGTTATTAAGCTTAATATCTATTACTTTTTTTGTGTGGTTTTGAAGAATGTACCCATGTTTTGGTACAATAATTTTTTGGTTAATTTTGATGAATGTACCCATGTTTATATATACACACACACAATAGTATAATTTATATTTTAATATTTTTAATCCCACAAATTATGAGTTTTTATTTAAAATCTCATTAACGTAAACAACTATAAATTTCAATTTTTTATTTGAAAAATATAGTAACATACATAGAAATAAATTATCACATTAATTTTAGGGACTAAAATAAAAAATTGAAAACCAACAAGGCTTCAGTAAAAAAAATATTGATAACTAGGGATCGCATCCAAAATCTCTCTTAAATAATCAAAAGCCACTAATTGCCTATCTTGGTGGTTTAGTACAGAACTAAAACAAAGACAATGAAAGTGATTTCTCATATCAACAGACTCATTTACTCATAGTACTATGTTGGCTTCGGCAAACACGTGTTGTAGGACTCACTCTTTTTTTAGGGGTGTGCTATATCAACATATCATTTTTTATTTTTCACACATTATCTTAATTTTCAGCTGTCGGATCGAATAAATTGAAGAAAATCAAATGACAAAAATTAATAGTCACTCAGTACTACGGTCTGGTGGTATTCCTCTTTGCTTAGAAGTGAGAGAGGTCTTAGGTTTGAATCTCGTAGATGATGAATTTGATACTAAATTAGGCTGCCTATTGTGTGGCTTAACCGAATTTCCCCTCCCCTTATTGTAAAAATATTGATGTACTAAAAAAATTGACAAAAATTTATAAGAGGGTGTAAGAAGTAAAAAATAGTGTGTGGATATACCCTTTGTTAACTCGCCAACTTGAACTGATAGACACCATTAATTTCAGTATTATCTTCACTTTTTTTGGTTGTTGTTTCTTTTGGCCAGGATAGAACATATATAATTAACTAATACAAATCCGTAGTTTATATCGAATTATGAACACTATTGCCAATTACAAGACTAGATGCTAAACCTTCTTAGTCGGACCTTCTATTCTACATTTATGGTTTTTCTTCTCATCTTGTAATGTTGTACATAATCGAAATTGTTTATTTTCTATGTCATTTAAAAAAAATCAACTCTGCTAAAAACCAACCGAATTAGAAAATCGTTTATGTACTTGATTAACATTGTCAAACTTTCAATGTTCAACTGAACAACATCATTCGTCTATTTATTGTCTAACCATTGACTAACTAAACAATTTCAAATTTCATTACTTTTTGGCATAACTTATCTTTAAAGGGTGGCTTGAAAAATAGACTATTTGAATGCTTTTGCAACTTCATAAGATACATATAGATAAGGTAAAATGAAAAGATTGCCGGCATTCATCTTTATGATTAGCTAAAAAATAATGCAGTTACCTTATAATAATTACCATTACTTTTCATTTGCAAGAGAGAAATCTTAAGTTCGATTGTCGCTAAAAAAGACGAATTTAAATTACATTATTACTAGCTTATTGTGAGATTAATATCACAATTCTTTCTTAATGTAGATAATATCGTTTGTTAAACATAATGACAAACACAAAAGATTCCCGACAACCCAAACTTTGGACGATCTAGCCACTATCTTTTGAACAAGGACTACGACTTTATGTGCAAGTTGCTCCATTTCCTTTTTAAACCCCACAATTTTGTCTTAGTCTCTCCCTCCCATTATCCCACCATTCTCTCAAATCATCAAACCTAAAACTTTTAGCCTCTGTAACCTCCTCTTATCCAAGATGGAGCCAATCAACGACGAGATTGCTCGTGAATTTCGCTTCTTCCGGGTGTACAAAGACGGTCGCATAGAAATATTCTACAAGACACAAAAGGTCCCCCCTTCGACTGACGCAGTCACTGGTGTCCAATCCAAGGACGTCACAATTCAACCCGAACCCGCCGTTTCTGCCCGTATCTTCCTTCCCAAGATCCAGGACCCGGCCCAAAAGCTCCCCGTTCTCCTCTACCTCCACGGCGGTGGGTTTATCTTCGAGTCTGCCTTCTCTCCTATTTATCACAACTTCGTCGGCCGATTGGCAGCTGAAGCCCACGCAATCGTAGTGTCCGTCGAATACGGGTTGTTCCCGGATCGCCCCCCACCGGCTTGCTATGAAGACTCATGGGCGGCGCTCAAATGGCTCGCGTCCCACGGTAGTGGGGATGGAACCGAGTCGTGGTTAAACAAGTACGCTGACTTTGACCGGTTGCTTATAGGCGGGGACAGCGGTGGAGCAAATTTGTCGCACTATTTGGCTGTCCGGGTCGGGTCCATCGGGCAACCGGATTTGAAGATTGGTGGAGTTGTGCTGGTGCATCCGTTCTTTGGGGGCTTGGAGGAGGACGACCAAATGTTTCTGTACATATGTCCGGAGAACGGTGGGTTGGAGGATCGTAGGCTGAGGCCGCCCCCAGAGGATTTCAAAAGGCTAGCGTGCGGGAAGATGTTGATATTTTTCGCGGCGGGAGACCATCTGAGAGGGGCGGGCCAGCTGTACTATGAGGACCTGAAAAAGAGTGAGTGGGGAGGGAGTGTCGACGTGGTGGAGCATGGTGAAGGACATGTGTTTCACTTGTTCAATTCGGACTGTGAGAATGCTGCGGACTTGGTGAAAAGATTTGGATCCTTCATCAACCAAAAGTAGTTACCTTACCTTGCTGCCCTGTGCCTTGACACCTGTAATAAACTTATTTTGACATTTCGTCGCAGTGTTGATTATATTATTGTTGTGTTGTCGTTGTATAATTTAATCTACTAATAGAAATAATGGAGGATGGTTGGGTTGAGTGCGACAAATTTGCCAGAGAAGGTTGGTGGGGCAAGAGTAGTGTTGAGAGATGCTCGAGGGGGTTTCGTGGAGGCAGGAGCATGGAAGATCCCAGCACTCTCATCCGCGCTCCATGTCGAGATGCAAGCGGTTCTCCATGCGGTGAGATTGGCCTCACAGTTGGGTTATCATCGAGTTCGTTTGGAGAATGACTCTTCCCAAGCTATATCCATCATCACTACTTATGTGGATAGTGGGTACACAATGGATTTGCTTGCCGGGGATGTCCTTTATAGTGCAGCTTCGTTTACTGCTAGTAAGTTTGTTTTTGTTTCGCGTAAAAAATAATGGAATTGCCCATCGTTTGGCAAGGTTAGCTTTGTCTGTTGCTTCGAATTTAGTTTGGTTTGAGCACCCTTCCACTGTTATTCAGGACCTCATCAACCAAGAACTTATATATAACTTATCTAGTTAATGATATCGACTCATTTAAAAGATATATATATTTTTTTTTTTTAACTTCAGCGACAAAATTAGTTTGTCGATAAAAGTCTAAACTTAGAGTCTTTTCGGACGAAAAAATTTGTTGACCATTTCTGTATCGAGTGGTTCTTTCCCAACAAATCCTTGACAATTCGTCAAAAAATGATTTTTACCTTTGAATTTAGTTTGGTTTGAGCACCCTCCCACTTCTATTCATGACCTCATCAACCAAGAACTTATATAACTTCTCTAGTTAATGATATCGACTCATCAACCAAGAACTTATATAACGTATATAACTTCTCTAGTCTAAACTTAAGAGTCTTTCCGGACGAAAAAATTTGTTGGCCATTTCTGTATTCAGTGGTTCTTTCCCGACAAAACATATTTTGTCCCCATTCTTAATCCCTGACAATTCGTGAAAAAATGATTTAGAAGCCTTCGAAATGTACCTTATAGCCAACAAGATGTGTTTGTCGATGGGTGAGGATCCCATTTGGATCCAAATGGTGGGGATCTTAGGGATCCTCACATCCTAGCTATTTATCGTATATTGTGCGGTCAGTTTTTGTCAGTTATTATTTGTGTTTAATTTTAAATAATAAAATTCAAATGATTTCTGACCGCACGATATACAATGAACGGCTATGTTGTAAAGATCCATAGGATTCCCATCATTTGAATCTAGATGGGATCCTTATCCTTTGTTGACACACAGTTTGTTTGCACAATTTTTCTCTACCAATAAAATTAGCTTTGTCGGGAGAGCATTTTAATTTATCAAAAAAATAAAAGCTTGAAAACGCAATGATTTAGTTTTTAAATAATGCTATATGTATATGTGGTTATAGAGAAGTACTTATTATCAGTGTTCTAAAAATCAGCGCTCGGCGGTGGAGTCCCGATCCAATTTGGGCTAAATCATTCAGGTTAGGCGGCCGCCTAGGCGTCTCTAGGTGCTCAAGGTGGTGCTAGGCAGCGGTCGATGCAACTGATTCTCTCTGCAAATCTCCCCTCACATTCACACGATCCACCACCCACAACCTAAATCTTCAAACCTGCGCTCTTGCACCCAACATCAATTGATGAACCCAAGTAGATTGAGAAATACATGGATGAACAATACACATAATCCGTCCATTGGGTTTTATTGCAGAGAGAAAATGGGATCTGTTGAAGAGATCTATTCGTTCTGTTGAAGAGAAGAGAGAGAGAGTCGAAAGAAAAACTGAAAAAGGGAGGAAAAGAAAGGCATAACTGAAGAGAGAAGGGGATCTCTTTGCAGATAGAGAAATAAGAGAAGGAGATCTGTTAATAATAAATGCTAGCCTAGAGCCACTAAACAAGTGATGGTTGATTGGGACCAGCATTGGAGAAACCGAGAAAGGTTGTAGAAAAGCTGTCGGTTTAATTGAAAAAAATGGCTTTTCTTTCAAGTTCGATCCATTTTGTGGCCCACTGTTTTGTTCAAAGAAAAAACAAACTAAGCCCACTATTCTTTGTATAAAATTACAAAAAAAAGTCCTAAAATTATACACATATACTCATATTTTATAACATATAGTGTAAATTTATGTAAATCTGCCTAGGCCGCCTAGGCGCTAGGCGCTAGTCCACCGCCCGACTAGTGCCTAACGTTTTTTTAGAATCTTGCTTATTATACAATAATTATATCCTACGCTATTTCCTCAGTTTTGGTTAACAGTAGTACCACAATAATATCTGCAAAAATAATATAAATGGTAACATGTATGACGACATAACCAAAAAAAAGAAAAAACCTTAAGTAATACCAAAATAATCAAATTGTAGCCATGAATCTTTTTAAAAGCAATAACATTATGGAACTAATATTCTAAAGATGATATATTCAGTTGAAGACACTTTGACACAACAATTTGTTAAGAACTGGAAAATTACGAAGGGATCACAACTAAGCATAATTGCTTAGGTGATGAAGGGAAATCCGTCACGCAGAGGCAAATATGTCGTCAAAAACATTGGACGACGAATAGAATGTCGTGCAAAGCTCGTGATGCAACAGAGGAAAGTGCTTCATTTTACGAATGTTGCATGACAAAATTGGTGGTCGTTGCGCCAAATGAAGAGCGACGAATGAGTGTTCGTTGCATGTGATACTTCGAGCGAAGAAATTGGGGTTCGACCCCCAAACCCTTGCCTGACGGACTTAGAGACCGTATCAGTAAGATTTTAAAATTAATTTTTAAAATAATTTTTATTTATTTATTATTTTTTCCTTTTAAATGTTGATAATATTGTTTTATGTATAAATTAATTTAATGAAATTAAAAACATAAAATGTAAAGAAGAATATTGAATTAAAAAAATTATTGAAAATGTACATACAAAGGAATTTTTTTTTTAAAATTTGAAAACAAAACCAAAATAGGTGGTCGTCCATGTCACAATCACCTGCTGGTGGTGCTGCTGATGCGTTAAGGGGCTGGGAGGTCGTAGCTGCTGGGGCAAGGAGCTAGGAGGTCGTAGATGCTGCAGCAGGGGGGGCGCTAGGAGGTCGTTGTTGGAGGTAGTTCAATGTTAGGGAACCGAATGCCAGAGATTTGAAGGGCGAGACAAATTTGGTTCATCAAATTGCTTTAGGCCATAAGTTGAGACTGTTGGGTGGCAATATGCTCCTTTAGGTCTGCCACTTCAGATGTCAGCGATTCGACCTCTTTTGTTCTCTGCTTGGAGGATGAGGTAGACGGGTCCCCAAGGTCGGCTTTCCTAAGCCCCCGGTGAACATTCCCATGCCTACGACCGAGGGTCTGATTGAGTGTGTCCGTCATGATTTGAAAACCGGTATCCTTAGGGGGAAACACCTCCTCGATCGGGGTCTTTGGGGGAAGTTGGGAAGTCACTTTCTCTAGAACGGTTTGGCCATTCTCCACCATGGTGGACTAGAAAAATGAAATAAACAAATTAATTTTAATATACATGTAATTAATATTAATACTAATTGAATATTAAAAAATTGAACTAACTTACACGAAACGGCTCCGTCAGCTTATCCCCGGGCTTTACGTACACCTCCTTGAACATGTCAAACTCAGGAAACTTTGAACCCCCATGAAAAAAAATGTTAACATAGATTACCAATTGTGTAATAGAGAGTAAAAAGAATGAAAAGTTAAAATAAATATACGGTTACGTTACGTCGCTCCTCCAACCTATAAGAGAAGTGTTGTGAGCCGGAGCGGTGAAGAAGTTTCTTCTTCGACCGATTGATCGAGTTTGCCTTCACTTTTTTCTATTGAATTAAAAAACGTATTAGTTTAGATATTTATAACAAATTAATGAAAAAATGAAAATTTTATTTAAAAATAAATTTATTTTGATTAATATATTATTGAAATATATATTTATACTTACGAGGTGTTTCTCGTCTTGAAAATGGTCGCAGAGCCACTCCCATTCATCCTGGCGATCCACCAACTCCATAGGGCACCCAACTGCTAGAGGGACCTCCAGATTGTCATATTTCTCATAATGCTTGTGGAGGTCGCTCTTCCATTAAGTGAACCTACCGGCATAAAGGTCGTTGACGTACTGGTTTTGATTGGCTTCCAGGTTCGTGAGCTCATAGTGATGCTGCAAAACTCAACAAAAAATAGTAGTTAAAATTTATAATATTTGTATACTTTAATAAAAATTTATATTTGAGGTTGAAAATACTTACCGATAATTCATGAAGAACGACTTCCTTGACTTTAGGTGGGACATCTTTCCTTGACTCCCACAAAAGGGGCAATGATTCCTGATAATCGAGTCAATGTCGCTGGCCAACGCACTGTGCTGCTCCTTTGTTGCAGCCGTACGATGTCGAGGATCCCACGCAATGGTGGTCTTCTTGGTTGTGGTTCGAGTGGTCTGTGACGTCTTTAGAAGTTTGCATGGGGCCCTGGTTTTTTTAGAACTACCAAATAAGCAAAGTAAACATTAGACGAATTCTATTTTTTTTATAAAAAATTCGGTAGAACTTCCCCTAAAACTATAACATTTCCTAAAACTTGCAGACAATATAACAACAAAAACAACACATCCACCCAACAATTCAAACAATTTATACCAACTGGGGACTTTAATACAAAATTTACAACTCGTATCAAGTGTTTTCACTTCTAATTGCATCACTGGCCATGAATCTGTGAAGAAACTACACACATATTGGATTGCACATGTAATTAAGTAAGTTGAGAACAATATCAATGTGAGTAGTCTTGTCTCTTTGAAATTTTAACACATCATATCATAACTTGAAAAATATACTAAAGATGTTCACTAATGAGAAAATCAAAGAATAAGAAAGATAACTTTTTAACAGTGTAACCAAAGAATTTATCAACCAACTTTTTCTAAAGAAGATTGGAGATATTTTTTTGTCATCCACCACGAATTTCGGTATCCTCCTTCACAGTATTTTGTAACTATTGAATTTTTATGAACCTACCCAAAAAACCAAATAATTAAAAACTTTAGATGAATCCTAGGTTAACATACTAAACTATTAGCT